GGCTGTTTGGCAGTGTTTGGGTGTCAAACAAGGGTCCTTCACTAGAGCCAGTGGCAGTGTTCCTGAGACAGGGCTATGGATGGCACTGCTCTAGTGGCTCTGCATGTGGCCAACTGGACAGAATGTGGCAACATGAGCAGGGACTTGGACTGCAGTGACACTTCTACACAACAGAAGGCAAGAGCACTGCTAGAAATATATGGTCACAGAGTAGATTGAAAGGCCTGATTTTGTATTTTCTGGTGCCCACACTTGGGTTTCTCCCATTGCTAATCCTCTTTCTGGCCCATTTGTGACTGCTCTTTATCTTTAAAAAAAATTATCATGCCAATGCCCCAGAATGAAGATGTCCTTGAGTATAAAGGACTGGTTGTGGGTAGACTGAGCCAAACCAGCAGCTTCCAGACTATGTGTATGCATTTAGCTTTTTGAACTGAGAGATACCTGCTATACTTGTGAAGGTGACAGAGCTGACTGGCTGGCTCTCACATGCTTGCTGGCTGAAAGGAAATCATTATCAGAACTGTAACATTTTCTCTGTGTTCCCACAGTAGTTACAGCATGGTTGTTTGCTGTCTCTCTGCTCATACATATCAGTACTTGGTGCACACTGACACATGTGCCCACAACATGACACAATGTGCCTTCAAGAGAGCCTCCAGCTCTTGGTCAGCGCCTCTGCTTTGGCGTGTACCAAGTTATCACAATTAATCTAAAACTGGGCAGTTTCAGAGGTGTTATTTCCTGTCATTGATGAATGCATTTTGGGGTGTATGCTTCAGCTGTGCACTCAGGAGGAGCGAGTACTCGGTTTTCTCGTACCAGCTTTGGGCTTTTTACCTGTTGCACTTTCTTGTCTTTTTGAGTCGCTGATGGACTCAATAGAAAGCATTTATACCTACATAGGAGCTCTGGCCTGCAAATCACTTGTGCACACTCACATGAGCCAACAGGACTGTCCACTGTTTGTGAACACAGAACAACCAAAGGAGAGGGACCTCCTGAACAGAAATAGACTTGTTTGCTGGCATCTGCCGTGGTTTTCTACATTTGACTGTGACAGCAGTGTGCCAGAGGTTTTTTTCTCATTTTTTCAAGATGATGCTCAAGCAGATGGAATGTCTTTTTCTCTAAATACTCAATTTATTCCCAAGTAAGATAGACTTAAAAGTAATGACCAGATCCATTTTCCTCCAAGCTTAACCTTGACCATAAAATATTTGTAACATTTAAATGGACAGGTACTAAATCAGCAGGCTGTACATCCTAAGAGTCTGCTAACAGTGTGTGTTATTATGTACTGCTGTGCACGTAATAAATTTCTCTCTTCATTCTGCCACCACTGACAGACTCATCATAGCGATGATCTAATTCATGCTTTAGAAGTTGGATGAGAGATTGTCACAGGAGGCTTGGTGGGTGTAATGCAGAATCCGGATCCTAACTTTTTTACACTAATCTTGCATTACTCTTAGTTTGTAATATCAGCTGGATATTTTACATCTCTGCTTATCACCTACACTTGAAAAGTCTTTCCACTAAAAGTACTTGATGCTTTCCAGGTACGTATACCACTGCACCTTTCTTGTATTCAGTGCACTCCTCAGGCACACACTTCCTTCAGATGTGGAAAGTGATAAAGTAAAATTCTGTCTTAGTGTATAATTCCTAACAGGCTGTCAAGATGAAAAAAAGCAGCAAAGCAGGTTAGAGCAGAAGAATATACCTGTTCTCTGTGGGGAGGAGCCAGCACTGCAGACAGAGCAGGATGGGCAAGAATTACGTCTTTGATTCCTACTACTACGTAAGATAAAAGAACTTCTAAGAACATTGAAAAATGCATTTAGAAGACAGAAATTTTTAATGTTGTCTGGTATCACAGTGGCTGAGTAGAATTGATTTATCTCATTGGCACACTGCTGACATTCCTGGTCTTCCTCTATATCAAGCAAAAGGGTTATTTTTATTCTCGCAGGCAAGTCACAGTTTTTATCAGCTGCTGTTTCAGTTTATTAAACATCCTAGACAGAGGACAACAGCAAGGAGGGTGAGAGGATCTGATAATTTTGATAGGAGTGGGAGTAAATTTTTGGGAGAGATAAGGTCTGTTTCTTACACATCATCTAAAACCCATCAGGCATCTCAGAGTGTGGAGGGAGAAGGCATCTAAGTAGAGTTAACCTGCTTCACCTGTCTAAGAAGACCAAAGGGAAAGTTGTAGCTGAAGGTTGTAACAAGACAAACCCAAATGGACCTTGGCAGCACAGATGCCAAGCAGGCATTTTAACCAATACTCAGTGTTCTTTCCTTCTTTTCTCCCAAAAGACAAAGCCAAAACACTGTACTTTATCTTGGAGATCTGTATGCATGGTGAGTCCCATGCTGTATCGTGCTCCTTACTGTACTATCACAAATGGCAGTGTGAGGCTGAGACCCCCAGCAGGCACAGAGTGCAGCTGCATTCGTGTTCTGGGGAAGGTCCAAGAGCACCAGCCACCAGCACCGTTGTTTCCTCCTTTGGGTCCTTTGGTTGGAAGGGCGTTGTTTAGTTCCTGATGATTCACCTCCACTGAGGAAGTTTGTAAATAGCTCTCAGAAGAGCAGTACCTGCAGAGCATGGCAATTAAAGGCTGAGGTTAATGAGCGTGGGCCGGTGTGACTCCCTGATATTGAGCCCCTCTGGCCCGAGCACTTGTCAGCATCAGGCTGCGAGATGGAGCCTGAAGGCTCTCCAGCATGGGGTCCTCTTTGACCCATTCACCTAGGCTTCTTTTTAAACAGAATTCCAAGGCCTTAATTTTTCACACCTTCTTATTCCATGCTCAGGATCTCAGTCAGAGGGGAGGTGCAGAACAGACCCTATGATGGCAGTGCCCTGGGCGATTCTGTTTCCCCCTGTTTTTAGCTAGAGCAATCAGGGCAGATGTTACTCCATCCACCACACTGTGAAAAACCAGGGGAATCAACAGCCACTCAAAACTGGTGTAAGAATAACGCAGAATTCTCACGTTGTTCTTCACGTGGGTTTTCTCCTCAAACAGGAAATTGCTATATTATGACCCTGATTTTTGTGAGTATATTTGCACAGTTTCCAAACATAGTGTGCACAGAGCTTTTTCTTCTCTTTGATTTAAGGATGCCCTCCTTTCAAGGGTTGTTTGATCAATATTTTTGTCAGGAAAATGATCTGTTTACATATGGAAGGAGACTGCATATAAGGTCCAGTTGTTCAGCTGGGATTTCTAAGCATAGCTATTTTTTCAAAGGCAGAGGCAGCTCTTGTACAATATAAGATTAACTTATTTGCCCATAAGATACACACACATATATATGTATGTAAAATATAACATATATCAACTTACTTGCCCTTAAAATATATATAAATTTTATATATATATATATGTATATCTCCTCTAGCCTTTGAAATCCCACTTAATACAGGTATGACCAGTCTATATTATTATCTCATGACATAATTAAACAGTGTGAATAATTTATTTTGGCTTAGATTTTAATAGGTTTAGTCGCAGGTGGACTGCAGAGGCTGTTGTGTGTGAGCAGCTGTACCCAGAGAATACCCAGAGGGGCCTTTGGTTGATTTTTGATGAAAGCTGAACAATTTATTCCCCTTTGTCACTAGGTGGGAATGAGAAGTCGCTTTGGTGCGAGCTAGAGAAATGCCTTGTTTTGTGGTTGCTTGTGCAACCACAAATTCACTTTTATCATTATTTGGATTGGAAATCTTGTAAAAAAAAGAAGAATTTAGTTAATCTTTTTCACTTGATTTCTTTGGTGTTTTCATTGAGAAAAGAATTCTGAGATGTTGATATATTCTCAATAGTAATTACACAAATTCCTATATTCACTGAAATTCAGACTACAAAAATATTTATATGAGTTTCAAAATGACAAAAACTGTCAAAGATTCCCTCAGCCATGCTGAAGCACTGTTTCCTGCTGTCTGAGCAGTCAGGAACAGCTACAACCTCTCTGGTACATTAGAATCTCGTGATTGGAAACAATACTGTCCAGTTGTGCAGACCAGGCATCTTCTTTGCCTAAACAAGCAAGAAAGGAATTAAAAACAATAGTAATAATAAAAAAGCCTCACAAATAACACAACACTTCATATTCCAGTTGTATAAACTACTTCTGCCCCAGAAGCCAAGAAGGTCCATGACCTAGAGGGTGAAGAGTAGATTTTGATGTTGAGAAACAGCTAATCCATAATGAGCACAGCTAGGCTCGAGGCGTGGACACTGAGGCTCACCAGGGACCCATACTCATATCCTAATTAGATAAATATATTTATGTTTACAAATACATGGTGATCCATGATGCTACCGAGTGTAAGAACAGGCATGCTCAGAGACAGTCTCCCTAGAGGCTCTACAGGGACATTTTGAAGTTCCAAAGCAGCTGGGAAAATTAGAGAAGCTCACAACTGCACTAGGATAGGTTTTATTGTCGTTTCATAGAATCACAGAATGGTTTGGATTGAAAGGGACCTTGAAGATCCTTTATTTCCAACCCCCTTGCCCATCCACTAGACCAAGTTGCTTAAAGTGGTCTCCACAAAATTATGAGACTTCTTCTCTCAGTCAGGAACTGGTAGTACATATGTGTCCAGAGTGAACTTGTATAAGCACAAAAAAGGGTGAGCACCAAGTGCCACTGAGTGCCACTGTGAGCTGCTGTGTTGGTGTTAAGGTGTCAGTGCTGTGCATGGCTCCATGGCAGCGTTGTACTGATGCCTGTTCTACTGGTGCTATGAAAAAAAAGTCTAGGAGCCGTTTAGCTGGGGTGAGATAAGAAAGGGTTTAATTATGCCAAGGCAATAGAGATGTTACACAACGCGTGCGCCGGGCTGTGCCCGGGATGTTACATTTATAACAATATCTGGCCAATCCCAAGTGTGTCCACCCTATAACTTTTGGCCTGGTCCACCCCCTGGCCTGCCTCGAATTGGGTCGGGGGGCTTTTTGGGACCCCCTCTTCATCATTCTTCATCATCTCCAGGGTACAGAGAGCAGAGTGACCCAGTTCCTTGACTCTGTCCTGCGGTTTAGGCCAAGATACAAGCGTTCTCCAAACAAGACAGGCTTGCCTTGACTAAGAGACTAAACATCTTCTACTGGATATGGGGATAGGGTGATATGGGGAGTATGGAATGGGGTGAGAGGCTTAAGGAATGTATAAACTAAAGGGTACTATGGGGAGGAGGGAGAAAGGGTTTCTAAAATCTACTTCTATTACCTATAAAACTTATAAGGTAGAAAAATAAGAAAATCATTATGGGCTTAAGGCATCATACTGTCATTCAAAAGGGAACACGTGTATCACTGAAAATTCCTACTGGGGGACAAGACAGGTGGGAATTGGATGCAAGACACAGTGAGCTGATATGAAAGTCTGTCTCCATTTACAGCTTCATCATCTGAGATCGTTCTGGAAGGTTAGGAAAGCTTCTGTGGCCCCGTGATTCCCACAGAGCCCACTGTAGTGGACATCACCTCTCTGGGGCACACACAGTATTCTACTTACTAACTAATCCTAAGTCATATTGACAGAATGTCAATTTTATTTTTGTATCTCAAACCCCTCTAGCTTTGGGCTTGTTATTTAATCTAAGTTTGCTTTACTGTGAAGTGGAAAAAAACTTTTTGCTTTGGTCTGTGCTGTTCCATTAAACACCTGACCCAGTTTTGTCCTAACTGGATGCTTCTGTGCTTAAAATTGCTTCCTAGTTCAGTTCTCTTGGATTCAAAGGATTTTACAGTTGTTGAATTTGTCCCCTTTTTTTGCCTTTTGTCCTGACCTCTGAATTGTTACTATTCTTAAAGAACTTCTATTGTGTCATTTGATGAGGTAGAAAAATATGAATTCAATAAACATCCCAACAATGTTAAGGTGACCTAATTCTGACATCCTCATAAAGGTGGGTTTTTTCCCTAGTTCATTTTTGTGAAAATTTTACTGTACAATGTGCATATTTTAGGAGGGGAAAAAGAAGAGGGACTCCATAAAAATGTGATGCATCTTGGTTTTCATTTATTATATAATTCAAAATTTTATGCTTTCTATAGCACATTTTTCAATGCTTTGAGCTCACATTGTCTCACGTACAGTCACTAATGTGTAATGCCTTGGTTAATATACACTGAATTAATGTATTTCATTGAAAATGTAGGGAAATAATTTTTTTGTGCCTCAGGGGTGATATATTGTTGTTCTGTTAGAGGTCACAGTGTTACACACCAGAGGAGAATCTGAATTGTCTTTGAGAGTGGAGGATTGTTGCCTTGTATGAGCTAAAAAGCACAGGATGAAGAGGTAGCCCAGAAAAAGAACACTAAAGGAGGGCGTCAAGGATCCCACTTCAGGAGGTATCTTCCCACACCAGAAAAAAGCAGTAAGGGAACCCACAGGAGTGAAAGAGCCTGAAGAAGGCTCTCAGGAGGTTAAATAAAGACTTGGGGATGGACAGGTCAGGGTTCAGTGGACCAAAGAGAAGTTATGGATCAGAGGGCTCCTCCATTTCCATTTTGTCCATGGCCAGTCCTCAGGAGTCTCCCTGTGTGGCAGCACAAGGCAGGCTGATATCTGCAGCAGCAGCAGCTGGTGGACACATTTTGGGGCTGTCTTTTGACAGCAGGGGGTAATTGCAACTCAAGGGGCATCAGGTCTAGGACAGCAAGCGAGCTGCTCTACCAGTCTAATGTTACTTGAAAGCTTACTAGGATGATAAAAGCAAATCATCATACAGTACTGGAACATGAATCTGTTGCCCATGCTAACGCTTAGCTACTTCCTAAAACCCAGGATGGTTTTCCCTTTTGTAAGTAAAAATAGCTCCAGTAGTTGCTTCCTATGGCTTTCTTTCCCAAGAATATGAACATGGTTCCTGTTGGCCTAATTTATTTTTAGCAAGACTGTATGCTAGCTTGTTTCTCCTTGTCAGGAGGAGCATTGGCTGTTGCTGGCCATCTGCTCACCCTCAGCTGCCCCTAACCTACTGTCCAACACTTGCATCCCTTGATTTTTCTCTTCTTGTTTTTAAAACTGGAGGATCCTATGCTGAGACTCCCTGAAGACCAGGGGGTTTGAAGAATGGTGAGGTTCTTCAAGTTTCTACCACCTGCTTGTACCTGCAAAGGCATTCAGGAAAATCCCATGGTCAGTCCTGCTCAGAACAAGCTGACCAGGCCTGCCACGCAGAGGTTTGCATCCTGCATGAACACACTGGGAATCAGCAGGCTGTACTGGAGCATTTATGCTCCTTTCTGTCTTTTGAAGGTTTCAGTAGTGCTCCCTTCAGCTGTTTGCACTTTTGCTTCTTGATTTTAAAAGCAACGTTTTGAGCTCAGATGCTTAGAAATCCCAGCTGGTCTTTTTAAATACAAAAGGAAAAGGTTGAAAGGAGCTACCATTGAGACTGAGGAGAAATGACAGCCCCTGATACAACAAGCACGTATTTTTGAGAAGAAAGCAGACAAATGTGATGGGCCTTGTAGGAAAAACTTGAGTACCACCAGTGCAAGCATCAGAGACAAATTAAAAAGTTTGACTTAAAGCCCTGTCATTAAGTTGTGATTACTCCAGGCCTCTTTCCTCACCTGCCTTCATTCCTGCAGCTCAACTCTCCCACATCTATTCAGTGGGAAAGGAAACTGATTCCAAAATAAAGGCCTAGGTAATGAACTAACAGAGCTGGAAGAAGCAAGAGCCTGCTTGCCTAGTCATGGAATGCATCCCCCCATCCCTATAGTAATAGCTTTCCACTTGTCCTTGGATGTGTAATCATGCTTGCAAAGGAAATTGTTTGCCTTGATTTTGATTTTACAGGCAGAGATGGCATGACTAGTCTTGAGATGTTCTGCAGCTCTACTCTTTCACACCATTGTTTTCTGCAGCCCTGGATCAGCTTCATGGCTCCAAGTTCCGTGGGACTTTGGCTCTGTCCCTGCAGAAGGTTTTGAAGATCTCCCTTGCACTGTATCTCATTTTATATCTCTTGCACTGTTTCTCATTTTGTTTTCTATGGGGAGGCCAGTTCTGCCTATCAGTGGGCTTCAGAGCAATATCTGTGAGAAAAGCTTTTCTTCCTGGTCTCTGCTTGGATATTTGGCCCACTGCAAATAAGCTGGAATGCTGTGCATCTGGCCATAGAGCAGGTTGAGCGAGTCACACTGCCTGCTCACAGCTGCTGTTGTAAGGAAGAGCTTTTGCTTAATGCAGTGTTCAGGCTATATTAATTTGTACATTAGCATCCTTATAAAAAGTGTTCTGAGTTGCCTGAAAACTGCCATGGCAAGCTTCAGAAAGCTTGGTAGGCTGCTGTAGACTTTGGCAAAATCTTTAACAGTCCTTGGCTAAAAAAGGAGCATTTACTGTAGGTCATAAAAGTAAACACAAATGAAGTAAGTTCAATTACTGCAGAATATCAAAGATCTGAGTGCAAGATGAAGAAAGTTGTACATGAATGCCTGACAAGAAAACTATTGAACATATTAAATTATACACCTCTCCCAGAATAGCTAGAGTTTTAAAAAGAATATAGCACAGCAGCACTCAATCAAAAACAAAACTACAAGCCTGGTGCACATCAGACTCGGGACAACTTACTCACAAGGACTACTTTGAAAGTGAGAAAAGCGCTTTGAACTCGGCGGCGTGGCATTGCGCAAATACACACGCAAAGCATAAAGCAGCCGCTCAGTAGAAGTGAGGCAACATGACGGCCCCTCCACTGTAAACCAGGACAGAGGAGATGGAAGGAGAAAAGGGAGGTGGGAGGAACAGACGAGCACAGGCAGGGCCAGCATCCAGGGGCTCTGCTGGCCAACTCCAGATGCAGGTGGAGCCCAGCTAAAGGACGATGCTGATGTCAAGTCCAGCCCTTTCTAGTCACAAGTCAGCAGGGACCCCATAAAGCATTTATTGTCCAGAATATGTACGAGACTCGCCATAGCAAACTCAGTAAAGTACCAAAAGCCAGGAAAGTAGAAAAAATCTACACCTGCAGGGAGTTCTAGGCCTGTGCAGTAGCAGGATGGTTGTTCATAAATCATGCTGTCAGGAAGCAAGCTGCAACCCATGCTGCAGGAGGAGTAAGTTACCTCCAGATGTGCCCCAGGAGTGTCCCAGGATGCACCAGGAGAAACACAGAGATAATTCACTTCATTGATGAGCATGGGTTTGTGTTAAGATGTTGTGTGTAGAACTAGACCCAGACAGGTGGAAACAGGTAGCTTTTTTAAATTATTATTTCCTGCAGTGTAAAAATGAATGCTAATTCTGGCAGTGTAGTCAGGATGGCTGTATCCCAGACCATGGCAACTGATGGATACAGAGTGTGTAATTCTGGAACACCTACCTCTAGTGCCTGAACTCTGATAATTAAGAATTTTTACTGTCCAGAAAATTAAATTGCTTCTAAATTTATGCATAAGCACAAGATGGGAATAACTTCCTGAGCAGCTTAGGAAAGTGGAGTTGGATTTTAGTTTTCTGGTCTGGTGAGAAAGGTTAATGAATGTTGTATATCCATATTAAAATAGTTGAGGGAAGAGTGAGCAGCTGGAGACAGCAAGGGTTCCTGAGCCAGGGGAACCAGTGGTATTTGCTCTGTCACTGCCTTTCTGTGTGACCTTGTGTGTTCCCCCTGGGAATTTTCCTACTATCCCTCAACATCTGCAGGTATGTACAGGGCTTTTGTGCTTGGGGTGTTGCAGATATGCAAGGTACTAAGGTGTGGAAGGCCTTCAGTAGGAAAGGGGAAGATACCCTTTTTAGGCAGTTTCCATACCAAATACAGAATATCTGTTTGCTTTCAATGATTCACCCGGGGTTTGTATGGCAGTGAGCTGGCAGGCTGCAGTGTGGGCACAGAGCAAAGAGGCACTGCCATAGCACAGACCCCTCTGGACCCAGTGATAGCCATACATCTGTCCCTCATAGGCTTCTGGCAATGTTTTTCTTCCAACACGGAGGCTCCACAATCTCTCCAGGTGATTTATTTCAGTGCTTTGTTACCTTCTTCAGTGGAAAGCCTTTTCCTCATACCAGATTGATTCTTTCTTGCTAAATTTGAAGCCAGTTATTCCTCTGATGCTCCAAGGACATGTAGAACAGATACATGTCTGTATCTTCTTCTGCCCTGGCCTTTAGTGTACCTACCATCTCTTTTTGGTCTCTCCCGAGCACCTTCAATTTATTTAGGTTCTGTTTATTAGGCTAGTGATTATTCTCACTGCTCTGAACTTTCTTCAATTGGCTTATATCTTTCTGCCTGTACAGGACCCAAAATTGAATCTTGTACTCAGCTGAGGCCTTGATAGTGTGGAGAAGAGTAGAAGGGCTATTTTGTTTGGCTTTCGTAAGTGATGTCTTCTGTATTGTAGAAGATCATTTGCCTATTTTTTGTAACATATGGCTTTTGATTGTTTATAGTTCCTGATTTTTTTAATGGAGCTCTAATTCCGGTAAAATTCTTTCCAGTACTACATTTTTGCAGATGATTATCCCACCATAGGTCTAGATGTCTGTGTTTATTCTTTTTGAATAGAAACTGGTGTCATGGTTTGACATGGAAATTGGATTTTTGGGGCTCAAACCACGACAACTGGTTTTGTTGGTTTTCAGACTCTGTTAACTTTTTTTTTTAATTTACATTTTCTTTCCTTCCCAACTTGAAATTATTTGCATATCCAGTAGGTACACTAAGTCATTTGCCATTCATAATGACTGATAGCAGACCTAAGGTAGCTTCCCGTAAGGCTCACATTTTTTATATCTCCTATTTTGAGAATGAATATTTGACACTACTCTGAGTAGTTTTTCAAGTAGTTTTTCAAGTAGTTCTGTATTCACCCTAGTATTTTCATCTAGATTGTGTTTTCTTAGCTTATATACAAGAAAGTGAGATGAAATACTGTGAAAAGCTTTAGAGAAGTCAAGATGTGACACAAAATCTATTATCTTACTATTAAAGGAAATGAGATTGGTTTGACACCAATTACTCTGAACAGATCCAATGAGGCAAACACTCATTTTCTTGTGATTTTCTCTCTGCTTACCTATTGTTTGGGTTTATTTGTTTCTAAGAACTGCAGCTAAGATGACACATATCTAATTCTTAATCTCCTCATCTTCCATCTCTTGTGAAGACAGGAAGCATATTTATCTTGTCTCAGTCATCCCTGTTCTGAAGAACACTGGGTTGCAAATAACTGTTGACAGCCCTGAGAATTGATCAGCTGAGGATGAATATCCAGCCCAACCAATTTCAAACCCTCTGACTTGGATAAGTATCCTCTAACCTCTTCCTTCCCTGTAAAAAAATCCAGTCCCATGTCACTGATTTTATGTTTTCATACTTTCAGTTAGAATCCAGTTTGGATTATACATTTTCTACTTATTTTTTCTACATCCTATGAGAAAAAATTTACTGAATTCAACAACCTTGGTTGCAATATCATGTTTTTTTCCAGGCATGTCTGTATACTACTACTTTCTAGAGGTGGCAGTCTTTGTTGCTCAAGGTCATTTTTTCACATGTTCACACACACACAAAAAGCTGCATTCCCTTTATCTTCCTGTTTTGGCAGCCTGGATTATTAACTCTCTACTATTATAGGAGACAGCTTTTTTTCCCAGCTAGCACCTTCTCCTAAAGTATGGATTTCAGATGCTCATCTTTGAGGTAGTTTGTTGATTTTAGAAACCAACTACTTTCAGGAGTCAAATTCCCCTCTTTACAGCTCTCATGACAACAGGCCAGATGACCTTCTTCAGAGCACTTGGAAAAGTCGCATGCAAAGTTCAGGCCACTCCCCTCTGGCTGCAAGCCTGTTGTGTTCCCACTATTCTTCTGACAGGCACAGATGCAGTCAGGCATCTCATGCTTTTCTCCTTGATGCCTGATGACTTACAGTGACAGCTGCAGAGGCAGGAGAAGGAAACCTCAGTGGAAGAGGAATGGTAGGGGTAAAAAAAATCCTCCCCAACAGCTGTGAATTGATATTCTCATCTAGGAGGTACTTTCCAAGTCCTGCACCATAAACTGTTTGTTAATAACCTAAAGCAGGTTTGATTCCAGAAGTGTATTTTAGCAAACATAATAGTTATCTTCACTTTGTATGGTTATACAGATGGCATTCTGCTTTTATTTGGAGCATTAGTGGTTTTGAAGGGAACAGATATATTCATCCAGATATATTCCCCCATCCCACAACCAGAGCTTCAGCCTCATGGAGGGGAGATGCTTCTGCTGAGCACTGCCCTGGCTGACTCTGTCCCTAGGCCTGGCCCAGACCCCAGCCCTCTCCTGCCCTACAGAGTTCTTGTAGGGATGTGTTTGCAGTAGATGTGTGTAGTGTTGTTCCCTCTTAACTGACCTGTTCTTCATTGCAGTGCATCTCCCTGCAGCTCTCTGTTCAACCATGAGGAAGAGGCACTGGCAAGTTTTGCTCTGGTTGCTCATGCCTCCTCTGCCATATGTTCATTCTCTTTTAACTAACTCTATCTGCCTCATGTAGAAATACTCTCATGCATTAGTTGTTTCCATTGCTCGTGTTTGGACCTTTTCAATTCCTTTCTGGGACCTTGATGTACAACCAGATTCTTAAGCCTTATAAAGGGTTAAACACAAAATGTCTTTGAAAAATTTTACATTTATTCTTTGTGTAAAGTTTTATCCACTGGCAGAGTAAAGATGATAAAATGCACCTTTAAGAAGTTGCTGAAGACTAATGAAATATGTTTGTTAAGTACTTTAAAAGCTTTGCGTGGTATGTTACTTCTTGAAGTGCAGATTACTGAAACTGTTTAAGGAGAAAACTAAGAGATTGAATGCTACCATATGCAGCATTAATTGCATATGCAAATACAGCAGGCTTTGTTGTAGCATTCACTGGCATTCACTGTGAACCCTGAGACACAGTACCGTAACAGCATGCTTTTATTGAAGTAAAAGAAAGTAAATGAATCCAAAATTACTTTGGGGATATCTTTAGCAAATCTTTCCTTTACTTTGAACTAGTCAATTAGTCACCATTCAAAGTGTATACCAGACCTGTCATTCTGTACCAGAAAATGTAAGACATCAAGAGGTGCTTCCAGTTGAAGAGAAGTTTCTGCAAAACTTTCTCTTCTGAAAGATGACACCAAATTGAAAAAGGTAGGATATATCACCAGCTGGTTTTCTTCATGATAGGCAAATGATAAAAAACCCCAACACTTGCTGGGTTTATTTCCGGTATTCTGGTCCAAGAGATTGGCTGTAGCAGCAGAGCAGATAAGGTCTTGGTCTGTTGTCTTCATTAGCTCTGGAGATTTGTCAGAGAGGAAAAAAAGAGGGACTACTGGGCTCGCACTGAAGGAGTCTCAGGGCTCTGTCCCAGAAGCTGCCATGGCAGCCTGCCCTCACGGGACACACCAGCACAGCATGGCTGGGTGTTCCACTCTAACCAACCATGAGTGCACGTCTGAGGTGCAGCTTTTGCACATGGGCCTGTTTCAAGAGTAGTTCTGCAGCCACAGAGAAGAGCTTGCACAGACATCTGCAGCGTGAAAGACATAAGCAGAAGGAAAACCTCAGGCAAGACCTGGGGGAACCAGAAGACCAGTTAGGAGAAAGTTGACTAGAAATGTGAAAAGACTGAAAGGGCTTTTGAGGAAGTATGAAGAGAAATGAAATGTGGCAGGAACTGGAAGTACCATGAGATTCTGGGGATTGTGAGGGAAAGTGGGTAAATGATGATGAAGAAGAAAATGTAGTGACCTTAAGCTGAGAAGGTTAATTCAAAAGTACAAATGTGATGTTTTGACTGGAAATGGTATATCCTAGCACAACAGCTGGAACTAGTTCTGTAGTGATGCATTTCTGCTACAAAGAAAACCCTTCTGAATAGAGAAGGTACCAACCTCTCTATTCTGCTGGAATCAATTTGCAGTATTTGCAGAACTAACCTGCTGGCCAAAGGGGCAAAATAATAAATGGCCTATTTTAAGTGTTTAAGAAGCTTGTAATGGTTTCAGCTTTACAGTGCTGCTAATTTATGAGGAAGGATGAGATATGGGTTCAGTGGTAATTGGTGACAGCTCTTCACTTCTAATGTTTCCTATAAAGCAATGCAGCAAAATTATACAAGAGTACAAACAGCCTGTATGATTTAGATCTGTGTGTTACCACATCATTCTTGGAGCGTTTTCTTTTATTTGTTTACATTGAAAACTGAAAGTGTGCTTTCTGCTTTGAGATTATTTGTTCTCTACATAATTTAATTGCTTCTTCGAACCCCAAGACAGTGCAGTATTTTAGAGCTAACACTCTTTGTAAATCCTGTCACTCATTTTACTCTCAAAGAACTGACAGGCTTGATATATTAGAAATAAAATTGGGTAACGTCCATTTTGAAAACCCTTATGTCATGTTTGTCTTGTAAAAGTGAAGAGCTATGTTTTCAGACAAAGGAACTACCTTTCAAAGTGGGTTATTTTTGGACTGTCTGACTTGAGATACTTCAGAGCTGTACTTCAGAGGCAGGGAGGGAACCCACTCCAAGATGCTTGTTGCTGTGAAAGCTGCACTGCAATGAAGGGTTGTGCTTAGAGCTTCTGCTTCCGCTGCAAAAAGTGTAGATGCACAGCTGGGACTGGGGGAGAAAAAAACCTGCATAACTTACAAGGTTTCCCTGGCATTAAGTGTTCCTAGAGCTGCAAGGATGAGGGGGAGTGGAGGAGGTGGATTGAGGATTTAAATGGCCAAGATCTAGCCAGTAGGTAAACTGGAGGCAGTATCAGTGTAAGAATCTAGAAGAAGGAACCCTCAGGTAGGATGATCTCTGTCCTGGATCTGGCCAGGACAGGGTTAATTTTTGCAGTAGCCAGGAGGGGCATGGCCAGGACCCAGATGTTATTCTGTATCACCTCACATCATTGCTGGGGGCAGAGGAAGGAGTCTGTCTTCCAAGGAGAAGGGGTTCCTGCTGGTGGAGAAAATGTGGTGGAGGGAACCGTCTGCTATTGTTTGTTATTTGGAATGTTTGTCCATGTGAATAATTTATTTTCTTATACCTTTTGTTATTAGTATTTCTGTTGTTGCTGTTTGTTTTCTTATCTCGCTGCTGTTTCCAGTAAATTGTTCTTATCCCAACCATGATGTTTGCCCTTTGTGCCTCCAATAGGAGAAGGAGGAGGGGGAGTGGCGTGTGGGTTCTTTTTAGCGCGAGTACTAAAATAGAAAATACCACTCCTAAAACATGACAATCTGTTGGAGAAGAGTCTGGGCTGGGACTGTGCAGATTGTGGGGAAAAGTCACCATGTGAGAGAACAGAAGGGAAAGCAAGGGACCAGCTGGGGTGGGCAAGGGGAAGCCCGTCACCCAGCAGGGGGAGGATGTGTAGGTATGGGACAGGAGAATGAAGACTGTGGTACCCTCAGAAGAGGGTTTGATTTCTGAAGCTTGCTAATGAGAGCCTGTAGCATTGGGTGAACACGTGCTGTGTGACACATTGCACAAGTTGCATAAATCGTATAACCAGTTTCTCAGAAAGTTAGAAAATATTATAATTAAATTCACAAACAGAGCCTTAATTTAGTGCCCTGAGCAAATACTTCATAAACAAACTCATCCTTTCTTCCTCATCCAGTCTTGTTTCTTGTATTGCACAGAAAAATGTTGCCTCCCTAATTTTCTCGTTTTTCTGGAGAAAACAATGTATTTTAACCCTACCCATGATCAAAAGCATATGGGCTTTATTTGTCTTGAGACTTTTTCTCAGTTTCTGGTTTTTTATGACATCCTAATGCAGGCACATATCCTCAAAAATCCCGGTTGCTAGCAATTAAAAGCACAATCTGATAAGGCAGATTGAAAAGTGCAGGGCACATGCAATATGGCTTTCTTCTAAGATACTACTGATACTCTCTTCTAAGATGCTACTGATTGTCAGAGATTGCTGGAAAAAATTCAGTGCTGCAGCTAAAGGTCTCTGATTTGTATCCAAGTCAAATCACAGGAATTCTGAAGTACTCCACTTCATATGTGTTTGACAGTCTAAAGATCAGACAAGCTGTAGGCAATCGAGGAGATTCCTGGACTGCATGGGGGATAACTTTTTAAGCCGGGTGACAGACAGCCCTGCCAGAGGGAATGCAATGGTAGATTTGATGGTCACCAACATAAGCGAGCTAATGAGGCATGTCAAGATTGGGGGAGCCTTGCAGTGATCATGCATTGGTGGAGTTTGCAGTCTTGAGGAATACAGGTCAGATAAGGAGTAAAGTCAGGCTCTTGAACTTTAGGAAGGCAGACTTCAAGCTCTTCAGGGAGATAGTCAGAGGGATCCCCCGCGAGACTGCCCTCGGGGACAAGGAAGTGGAACAGAGCTGGCAGATCTTTAAAAAAGTCTTCCATAGGTCACAAGAGCAAGTGATCCCCAGGAGCAAGAAATCAAGCAAGGAAGGCAAGGGACCAGCATGACTGAGTAGGGAACTGCTGGTCAAAATAAAGGGACAGAAGCAAATGCATAGACAGTGGAAACTAGGACAGGTAACAGAGTATAGAGAAGTACGATTGTGTAGGGAGGGGGTGAAGAAGGCCAAGACAAAACTGCAACTGAACCTGGCAAGGGATGCAAAGAATAACAGGAAGGGCTTCTACAGGTACATTAATCAGAAAAGGAAGGTCAAAGAAGGTATACCCCGTCTCAAAACAACTCTGGCGAACAGTAAAAGACGAAGAGACAGCTGAGGTACTTAAAAAAATTTTTTGCCTCAAAGGCAACCTCTCTTCCCACAGCTCTTGAGTGGATGGACAGCAGGATAAGGACTGGGAGAGCAAAGTCCCCCCCCGTAAGCAAAGATCAGGTTCATGAGCACCTGAGGAACCTGAATGTTTACAAGTCAGTGGGACCTGATGAGATGCATCCCAGAGTCCTGAGGGAATTCACTAATGTAGTTGCCAAGTCATCCTCCAGGATACTCTTAAACTCCCAGCAGTCAGGGGAAGTCCCAGGTGACTGGAAAAAGGAAAACATAGTCTCCATCTTTAAATAAGGAAGAAAGGATGACCCTGGGAACTACTGAGGCCTGTCAGCCTCAACTATCAGCGGAGGGAATAGAGACAGATTGTGCTGAGACCAATATGATTGACAAAATGTCCATTTATTCCAAGAACAACCCCAACAAATCCCCCTTTTAACTTTGAACAATTTAAACTGCATTTCTGTAACATTCCTTATTGTACCCATAACATTTCAATAAACACAATTACATATAATAATACCACTACCATTAACAAACTTAACAACTTATTAACTTCAGGGTTTGTGCTCTTAACTTTTGCTTAAAGGTGCTTCTAAATGTAAGGTTTATTCTTGAGAGTTTAATCAGTCTAAAACACCTCTGTAAATGGAACTCCATTCAATTTAGGGTTATGTGTCTTCTGTTTTTATTTAAGGGTGTTTGTGTATTTGATCATATATTCACACACGTACATACATACACTTTCATACATTCACACGGTGGCCACCATCATTCAAACACATTTCACACAAACATACTTCTGAGTTCTATGTTACTGTGTTTTATGAATTAAGAAATTATAATAATTCTCTAGTACCTTATAATGTTAAAGCTTCTTAACCAAACAGATAAACTTTCTTTTACTAATACTTAGTGAATAATCTAAAGTTCACACAACACACTCTCCTAAATTCTTAACTTCTATAATTATGTGCCTTAAAATACTGAAAAATTGTGCTCAAAAAACTGTACTCTAATAATATTGAAGAAATTGTTAGTTACAACAGCTTCTGGTGGTGTTACTGTTACCTGCAATAACAACATCAGCCTTGTCCTGAAGCACCAGCTTCTTTCCAAGGCTTCATCCATCGTGCAGGCAGCCACTGAACACCTGTGTGCAAAAAACTTCAACACATAAACACTTTTGCAAATCGATCGAGGGGGGCTGGCCAGCTCTTCTTCCCCCTTTCTGCTTTTGCAAAAGTGTTTTAAGAACTCTTGAATTACTAATCTCTTAACCTAATGCCCTTGTGCTAATAATAAAAAATCTATAGCAGTTCTATTTTGTAACAGAGCATGTTGTATACTATCTATATCTTCTAATAATTCTGATAAAATTCTAGAGGTATTGCTGGCTTGTTTTAAATTCCAACACTATCTTCTTCTTCTTCAGAACTTAAATCTGTTTCAGGAGAATCAGTATCTTCAAGCACAAAAGGTCTTATTGCTGCACTTACCGCAGTAGCTAAATAAGCTGCTTTCTCTTGTTTGACTATCCTTGCAGCAGCTTCTAGAAGCTCACCTGTACCAGCACCTCTAGGTAGTGTGCTTAAAACTTGCTTTGTTTTGTCATTGGCATTGTCATAGGCTAACATGTACAGGAATTTTGTTTTCATGTTATTATCCATGTCTGGATGTGAATTTATTGATTGATGCAAATGATCTACAAACTGATTGTATGGTTCATTGGGTCCCTGCTTAATTGTAGTACATGGGGGCCCTGTCTTTGCATCCCTCACTGCAAGCAATGACTTATAAGCTAAGTCCTGACTAGTTTGTAGTACCTCATTTGGAAACTGTGCTTGCGCTTCTGCTTTGTCGTACTGACCAATACCCATGAGTATGTCAGAGGTAACACTGTAGAGAGGGTGTCCTTGCTGCTTAGGTTGTGCAGTGGCTGCTGCACAACTGGCATTCCATTTGTTGAAAAATTGTAACTGCTGAGAAGGAGGAAACAACGTGGTTATAATCGTACGTGTGTCAAATGGTGTTAGTAAATTCGCAGTAAAAAGGTGCTGCATTATTGATTGTGTATAACTGCTCTTTAAACCATACTGGGAAACGGCTGCTTTAGCCTCTTTTATGATCTTCCAATCTAAAGCTTCCCAGGAATTATTCCCTCCACTGTCTACAAATACAGGGAAAGCACTAGCTTCCAAAAGCCCAAAGTCTCCCTCAGGAGCTGCATTCTGTATGATGGTTTTCCATTTCTGTGCTGGATTAGCACTCACCCTCTCCCTCCTCCTCCCTCCACCCAGCAAGGCAGGAAACCCTGTACCAGAAGTTCCCACCCCGGGTATCCCGGGAAAGGGGTTTGGAGAAGGCGATGCTGGCACTGTAGACGAAGCTGGAACATTGGAAGAGTCTGGATTTAGCAGAGCGAACTGTCTCTCTACTAATTTAGACTTGAGCTCTTCAAAACAATGCAACGAATTGTCCATTTGGTCTTTTGTTGCAAGCATAGCAACTTTCTCGCTTCCATCCTCCGAGCTTATGTGCCCTTATGAGGTTGCAAGCTATGCTGGTGGTGGTATCAGCCTCCGGCAGGGTCTCCCATGCCAGACAGGTCAAAACGGTAGGGTCAGATACAATATATCCATGGGCAGGATGAGCTCGTTAGCCTTCTGGCAGTCATCCTAGGAGAAGGACAACTCTTATTCCAAACCCGGGCAGATGGAGCTCACTTAGCCCTGTGAGGCCATCCATCTAAGAGAAGGTCACTCTAATTAAACCTACGTCCTGAGGACCTCGCTGCCGTCCAAGCTTGGTAGGCCCTGACAGATGAACCTTAGGAGTAAAGGGTGGGACCAGTTCAGCACATGCTGTGCCTCACCTAAAAAATCCACTGCACAGGCTCGAAGGATATATCCACATTTGCAAAGCCCTGTAGGGCAGGCGAGGGACGAAATGGCAGGTGGTAAGATGGAGTAACTACATCAGTGGATAAAGGAAGAGCTACAGATGTCATTTATCTGGACTTCCGTAAAGCCTTTGACATGGTTCCCCACAACATACTTCTCTCCAAATTGGAGAGTTGGGATTGTTCAGCCTGGAGAAGGGAAGCTTTGGGGTGACATGATTGTAGCCTTCCAGTGCCTGAAGGAGCCAACAGGAAAGATGGAGAGAGACTATTGACAAGGGCTTGGAGTGACAGAACAAGGGGGAAGGGGTTCAAATTGAAAGAGAATAAGTTTAGATTAGATATTAGGAAGAAATTCTTTACTGTAAGGGTGGTGAGGCCCTGGCACAGGTTGCCCAGAGAAGCTGTGGCTGCCCCTGGATCCCTGGAAGTGTCCAAGGCCAGGTTGGACGGGGCTTGGAGCAACCTGGGACAGTGGAAGGTGTCCTTGCCCATGGCAGGGGGTGGAACAAGATGATCTTCAAGGTTCCCTTCCAATTCAAACCATTCTATAATTCTATGATTCTTTGATTCTAAAGCAGAGTTTGCACTTCATTTCCAATTTCACCACTAGATCATTAAGATTACATTAACATCTATCAGTGGTGAAGAGCTTAATTAAATTAAAATATTCTCTTAAATGTTAAGTTCTATGCAAATGTGAAAATCAATTAATGAATTTCATTGGTGTCTTTAGGAAGATGTTTTGCATAACAGTTGCATAATGTAATTGGTCCCATGAAAGTCTTGATTTTTTTAATATTATTTTGAACAATATTAATTTGAACAATTATTATCAAAATTATGTGTCTTTTTAACTTTCATATAATTTACAATGATTCCACTGTTGTAATTGGTCCTGTGCAGAAACTGATGAAGTAATTTGTCAGGTTTTATTTATTTTAAGCATATATTTTAGACATTCAGTTAAGATTTAGCTGATTTCTAAACTGATTGATTTAATGCTTTTTCCAAGTAATTTGTTATTTAATTTCACCTCTGAAATTTTTAAAATAAAATTTTCCTATGTATATCAAAAAATTATAAATGAATGTCATGTACCAGAGGCAAGATTTGTTCTCAGGGCTGTGTTTAACACTACTCTTAAGATAATTTTCAGTCACTTTTTGACCTTTTATGAAATTCCTTAGTCAAATGTTTCTCTTGGTCTCAACTCTCGTTTAGGAAAAAAAAAAAAAGCCAGACCAATTCTACCCTTCTCTCTACAAGGTCAAGTAAAGCATGTTGATGCTTTGCCACTAATAAGTTTTCACCAATGGTCTTGGTGCTGTGAAGTCAAAATTATACGTCTTTGGCAGTCAAAATTTGACTGTCTTTGGCAGCCAAAATGCACATACATTCTATATATATATATATGTGTGCGTGTATATATATATGTGTGTATATATATATATATAAACACACATATAATGTTGGAAAAAATTGTTTTTATCTTACCAAAAGGTAGTAATTTTCCTAGGGTATTAATACAGATTAAATACATAGATAAAGAAGTTCTAAGACATTCTTTAGAAACCCGTAATAAAACTAAGAGAATTTCTTTCATAACTAAATGCCTCAGTTTCTTAGAATAGTCTCAGACAATTCTAAAAATATTACAAGATATTACCTGTAATTAATAGAAATAATGCATATTTTTAAAAATATCAGCAAAGCCTAAACACTAAACAGACTGACTGTGCTTCAGGAGCTTCTGTCCTTCCTGAGCATGCTTGGCAGGAGAGCACTGCCATTGCAATTTGCAATGAGGAAGCTGCAATTTATAGACTTCCATGATACCTCAGTCCTTAGAGAACAGTGAAGAAAATAAATGATCCTGACTGAACTGGTGTTACTGGAGATCTGCTGGTGCTGCTCTGCCCACCCCACCCCAGTCCCTCCCTGTCCTTGTCCCGGTGCTGACCGTGTCAGGGGAGCCAGGTTTGCCTGGCACTGTCCCCAACATGAAGTGAAACCTGAATATTACCTGGAGAGTCCCAATGCTTTTACAAATCTAGATAGAACTAGGCAAATAGATTTTGGCTAGAAAATTGAATGGGTAGTTTTTGAAAATATTAAAGCAATTCATGATGGCTTTTGAAGAATTTGGGAAATACATTTCTCTTAAATACTTAAAGCACTTTTTTTTAAAAGTACCAAAAAAAGATGCAAACAAAACAAACAAAACCAAGCCAAACCACTTCTTTTTCACTCAAGCGAAGAGGTTTAGATTTACACCTGGCAAACCCAGAAGTTTTGCATTTCAGCTGTGTCATGGTTTAACCCCAGCCAGCAGCCAAGCCCCACACAACCTCTCGCTCACTCCCCCACCAGCAGGATCAGGGAGAGAATCAGAAGGGTAAAAGCTGGAAAACTCGTGGGTTGAGATAAAGACAGTTTAATAGGGAAAGAAAAACTGCACACACAAGCAAAGCAAAACAAGGAATTAATTCCCTGCTTCCCATGGGCAGGCAGGTGTTCAGCACCTCCAAGAGAGCAGGGCCCCATCCCACAGAACAGTGACTTGGGAATCCACACACCATCACTCCAAACATCCCCTGCCTTCCTCCTTCTTCCCCTCACTTTCTATACTGAGCATGATGTCATATAATCTGGAATATCCCTTTGGTCAGTTTGGGTCACCTGTACTGGCTGTGTCTCCTCTTGACTTCTCATG